GATACAGCTAACAGTGAGAGTACTATACATAATATAAAAGGGTCGAGCAGCTTCTACCTATACACATTTGATAATTAGAATGATACTTTATAAGTAATAACTTTTCGTTAAAAAATAAAATCCAGTATATACATGTACTTACTGTATCTCTAAGGTGAATTTTAGCTCCTGCAGACAATAAAATTTGTATAGCATCATGATATCCTCCTCTTGCAGCAACATGAAGAGAAGTAGCTCCACCCTATAAGAAACACAAGACAATGTTTGTACATATAAGTCTATTACAAAAACAAAGTTTTTTATTATAAATTTATATTGAATATAACAAACACTAAAAAATTAACAATACATACATGTACAATGTAAATAAATAGATATAATGCGTGTGCATGTGAATGCCTGTGTATAGTATAAACTACAGAAGATGTACTACATGCAGAGCAGCTGAAAATATTGGAAGGATAAAAACTGCAAGTATGGAACGAATGGATTTTATTATGGCAGTTTCTCACAGAACAATCTGCCAATATTAACTCTTTACTAATATATGTATTTCTACAGTGATCAGGGTTATTATGTCCTGCATGTACATGTACATGTACACCGACTACATTGTACCAAGTGAATTGTGAAATGACACAACAAAATATACGTACATGTATACATGTACATGTATACCTGACCCATGTCCAAGGGCAGAAGGCTATCATCATAACAGCATGCTGTACATGTACATGTATGCATATACTGCAGTAGTTACCTCTTTAGGATTCTGATGGTTTACATTAGCTCCTTGAGACAGTGCAGACTGGACACCAGTAGAATCACCTCTTTTAGCAGCTTCATATAACTCCTTATTCTACAATGAATCATGCAGCATAAGTTAAATACCGTACAGTTAGAAATATTGATGGGAGTTATAATTACCGTAGGTCGGGATGTATTCGCGGCTGCTTATTTTCGCGATTTTTTCCCGCACTCAGCAATTTACCAGATGCAATTTTAATTGAAAAATCCGCGATATTAATAGCAAAGGAATCTGTTGCAGTGTTCTTGGGTAGTTGTTCTTCTTGCTGTTACTAATCCTGGTCTCTTTGGAGCTGTTTCAACCAGAGCTACTCTCTTCACTCTGCTTCGCCGTATCTTGGCCCATTCTTGGGACTCTCCACCCATTTATTAACTTGGGTGTGGTTAATTATCACCAGCAAGTGGAGCGGCAAGGATTTGCAGCAAAGAGCTTAAAGGTAGTGGTCCATACAAGAAGATAGCTGATGGAGAACTGGATGGCTCCCACTAAAGCTGCTAAAGAATAGATAAATAGCTGCTGAACACTGTAATTGTATAAACACGTGGTCTTATTGTCATAGCAACAATCAATTGGTTTCCATGGTATTTAATTGAACCTTTTTATTAGTTTTTATTATCACGAAAATAAGCAGCCGCGAATATATCCCGACCTACGGTATTTGGAAATTTGCTAAAAAATTATAATTGACAAAATCTATATTGGCAAACATTCTAGTGACCACATGTGGTCAGGATTAACTAAAATGGCAGATTTTATATTGGTGGTTGCTTATCAGACCTTCCCTGCTAATATTTGCTGCTGTGTGGTACTCTCATGAAGTGAAGCTATTCATTTTTTCACATCATCATTACTGCTACTAAGCTCTTATTGACATAGGCCATTTGATATCTCACTCACTTAC